TTATTTAATATATTTATAATTGCGGATATCAAAAAAATATTTTCTATAAGCGAACTATTTACTGTAAAACTGGTATGACACATTGGAGTTGRCTTTTCCTTGGGGAAGATATAAGAAATCTAAGACTGAAGAATTGAAGGGAGGGGGGGAGGGGACTGAACACAACAATAGGCTGCTTTCAATACTTTAAAAGATATAATGACAATTAGGCTCTGAATAATGCAATAAACCAAAAGTGGGCTATTGTCATAATACTAGTTGACTTTCGCGATCTCTTCTGCACTGTGTTAGCCTCAATTGTGTGCAAAATATTCAGAAATCAAGCTAAAACTCATGAGATTTTAAACTATTTTCATTGTCTTCTGTACTCACGGATCTCTTGCATTAATTTTGCTTGGGTTGTTACTGAATAAAAGAATTTATTAGGTGGTTTTGAGGCTAACTCGGCATAAAAGAGATTGCTAAAAGGGACTTTATTGCAGAAATGTTAGGATAATATAATATATATAAGTGGGCTGTGCACTCTCTGCATCTAACCCCCTGGTTTTACCCTTGAAAATATAATAATTGAGTCGAGATTGATGCAGGCTGTATACAGCCAACCACTGCTCAAAGCAGGGGGTGGGGCGGAGGGTGGGGTGCATTAGAGGGAGTACTAGGTACAGGCCAACAAAAAATATGTTCACTTATCCATTATTTACAAAACATTATGGTTAGTTCCCTAGCTATGAGTGAACTGTCAGTCCTGACAGCAATTTCGTAWTTGCAATTTTTTGCCTTGTGTAACCATGCAAACAGTGTTGGAAAGAAAGCCACTCAAATGATAAACCTGTTGCTTCCTGGGAAAAAAAATCATCCTCCTCAATCAATCATTGCAAGCTCACTTGCAGCTGTCTCACTCCAATGCAAAGGGGTGGTTGCCTTTCAAAATGGTGACCAACATGCCCTTAWTAAACAGCCTTGCCTCATTCTTCCCCAATTGTGGTGATACAGGAATCCCAGAAACAAGAGACTTTCTAAGAGAGTGGTAAATGATGCAAATGGCCACATAATATTCACAAAATGTCTCRCAAGACACCCTTGAAGGAGCTGAAAGGGTAAACTACTAGCAACATTTCSCATGATGTCCATGTTCTCTATTTTTCAATTTCATTTTCTTTTTCTTTCCTTTATGGGATTTTTCTGTCTCTTCTTCAGTCGGTGGGCAGACTGCCAAKAGGATTTCATGTGTTAAAGTTGTGAATGATTTTTCAATGTTTATGTTTGCAAGTGCACTTGTTTCTATAAATGATATGCTGTGATTTGATGCTAGTTGTTGTCCTCTTTCTGTTGGTATTACTCTTTTGTCATCAAAGTCACATTTATTTCCAACAAGCATCCTAAATAATAGAAGACTGTCAAATTGATATATGGTGGCAGTAAGAAAGGGGTGGCAGGGAGATGGTCAGGGGGGAGGGAAGGGGCGCTAAGATATTCAAGGAGCAGGCACTTTGGAGGTATATTGTTTGCAATCAATTTAATGTTAATCATGCATTCACAGGGGCGGATCCAGCTGGTGGGTGCAGGGAGTGGGCACCTCCTCCTGAGAGTCTGTATCCTTCAATACTTTCCTTATTTTGTATCATCATGGTAATGATTTTTGTGGGGTGCACCCCCTCCTGAGAGCCCCGCACCCCTCCCCTGAGGAAAATCCTGGATCTGGCTCTGCATGCATTACAAAACCCTGAGCACTGGCTATTGAATTGCTATCTTTATAGCCAAAAAATAAAACTGTTTTCACCATCTAAAAAAAATCTACACTCTACACTCTCTCTTTCTCTTTCTGGACTCCCCAAATTTAGTATTTTTTCAGTCATGACTGGCATATTTTATGCTGAAGACTATATKCAACACTATACTGGAAAAGAAGTGGGCTTTTAAATTGAGAAAATATCAATTTTTAATGAAAATTTAATCAGTTTCAAGACTGGTGACAACACACATTTTCCATTGGTACACTTTGTAATCTCATTATTYATTATTTAGGATTATTATTATTTAAAATGAAAGAATTAATGAATCAAAAAATACTTACTTTTTGACATCTTCATTGGCATGGTCTTCAATCTTCTTGAGCCATTTTGATATATTACTAAATGACTTCTCATTGGTTACATCATATACTAACATTATACCCATGGCCCCTCGGTAATATGAGGTTGTGATGGTATGGAACCTAACAACAAACAATGTTCAATATTGATCAAATGACATCCTCACTATCTGATATAGGAGTCCATCCATCATAGCTGAGAACCAGTGGAAATTAGATGGTGCATTTGATAATAAATGGATTTACAATTGGGGACAAAATTGTTGAATGAAAGAACCACCTCTCTTCTCCTTCTACCTTCAAATCCATCCAATACTAACCTTCCCCCGGGGGTACTCCCCTATATTCGCTATAYGGGGATGTGCCGCCAACCAGGGTATCATTTTCAGCGATTTTACTCTGGAACAGCTGGGTATAGTTTTCAGCATTCTACTCTGGAACAGGGTATAGTTTTTAACGATTTTACTCTGGARCAGGGTATAGTTTTCAGCGATTTCACTCTGGAACAGGTTCAGGGTTTTGAGGTCCCAGCAGCACACCCCCGACCAATTTCATTATTGGGAATAGTAGGGAAAGCAGTGACTTCAATTTGAAAAGATATCAGTCCTAAATAAAATATAGAAGACTGAAACCTCACCTTTCTTGCCCAGCAGTGTCCCATATTTGCAATTTTATCTTTTTCCCATCTAGTGAATTATAACACACTAAAATTTGTGGTTTGCTCAAGATCTATTCACATGTAAATTACTTGCTGATAATTATGGAGAATTGGAAAGATAATATAAATAAATACACAGAAATGCAATATGAAAATATCTTAAAAGCARTAACAACAATAGATAAAATACAAAAATACACATAAAATTGACAAAATTTTAAAATGCATTTTTCACGCTTTCAAATATGAAGTAAATATATAACACCAGCACTTAATTTGTTGATAATTATAAAGTTAATTCATCAGATTAACGTAATTTGCTAATTACAATGGTAGAGTGACGTTATGTTGTTGTACGACCTTCAACTTATATTTTGTCTATCCGAACATCATTACATGGAATACAAAAAATAAAGTAAAAATCTTGAAATTTTAGTTTATAAACAAATATTAGACATGAAGTGCCCAACTGTTTACAACACATACAAATGAACAGTTTGGCAGATTTCCCTAAGCATTTTAAGCCATCTATTTTAGAATTTTATCAAATTTCTATCATCAAAGTCAATTTCCCGCTAATTTGCCACTTAGATCTTGTTAATTCACAAACTCTGAATGGTAAGTTATCCCTGCACAAACAAACTGTTTGGATTCGATCTTGCTATTTACGAACGATATCCGGTCAGCAATAAATTAACAGTTAAAATATTTCAATCTCTTTTATATTTACAAGCTATTGAAATATGTGCCTTTGTACACTGCTTGTAAAACGAAATACTCCAAGCAAAAATACAAGCTCTGAGAAAAGGGAGCGGCAAGGATACGAATTTATATTCCCTGGGAAGTAGTGAAGTGTGACGATTTATAAATATTCAACCAGACAAGATAAATTGCAGTCTTGAAGTGAAACTAACAATTGCAGTTTTCAATCTGAGATATCGATAGTTGCAGGCAAAAATACTGAAAGTTACACCAAATAAACCACAACAATTTCCAATGTATGGGAATGTCCATAAAAGGATAAATAAAAAAATGTAAATACGGTTTAAAATATCACTGTTTATGCTGTCTAAGACAGGAGCGTACAATTTCAATTACAATGTACAAAGTACGCGTATGGRTTCCCCGAACGATGTGGAATTTTAATCCGTAAAAACGTCTCTAAAAGCAGCACAGAGGAATTACAGAATAATGAAATGATAAGGTCATATTTACAATCAAMTTCATGTCCAAATGCCTGAATATCAAGTAGCGATGTCGAGGACAGCACTCACCAATTTCCAATGTCTTGATTTTAAAATCKATTCCAATTGTTGATATGAAGGTTGGATTAAACGTATTATCAGCAAACCTGAATATTATACATGTYTTTCCAACACCGCTATCCCCGATGAGCAAAAGCTTGAAGAAAAGGTCAAACTTCTTCGCCATTACTCGATTCTGCTTCGAGGGGATTGACAGTCTGCGTGACGTAATGCGAGGCTGAGAGGGGCGGGCTCTCAGAGGAAATGAATTTGATCGATGCAGCGAGTGACGGAAATGCTTTCATCTTTTAAAATAGCGTTGAAAAGCGAAATTGTTTGTGTTTTTCATAATGGTTAAGTCATTGTGGTTTGTTCCGAAATACCGACACGAACGGACGACAGACAGACAGACAGACAAAAATAGACCGAGACATACCTACTCCACCAAATAATGTCAACAACACAGATGAGATAGCCTCCTTTGCAGACGTTATTAGTATCGGTCATAAATTAATTTATGACCTATACTAATAACGTCTTCAAAGGAAGCTAAGATGAGAGTACATGAATTAAATAGAGATGGATGAACTATACATGAGTGAATGGTTGAAATAAAGAATGAAAACATGGAATGCATCAGATATAAATGCATCTTGATAAAGAGAATGAATGGAAGAATTGTTGAAAATGAGGAAAACCATTTAACATGATACATAGTCTTACAATCCACCTATACATTTTATGAGTTATCAGAGTAACCTGAGTACCAGCCTCTTGAAGGTGACTCTGAGAGCGGAAAGGAAAAAAAACAAGACGTTCCCCTTATCTTTCATCTCTATTTTTTCGACCAGTTTGAGAAATACCAGTAAATAAAACTTTCACTTGGTTATTTCTCAATTAAAGTTCATGTTTGTTCAAATGATTAAAAAACATTTCCATGAGTTTTATCTACACGTATGYCTAGTGAAAATCACAGGCGACCCACCACCAAAAAATGAGCTAAATGGGGATCATACCTGGAGTTGAATTGAAACAATGCAACACAATTTGTTAAGTCTTTGATCTTTGACTATCAATTTAAGTCAAACTGTGCTGCTTAAGCTATCTTCAGGGTCATTTCAAAGAGATTTGTGTTTTTGCTTAATACCCAGATTTGAGCATCTTTGTATAACAACAGAAAAATACATCCCCCTTCATTGTCTCCATTTCCTACCACACCCTTCCCCACAGGCCAGCTACACAGGCTTCTCCCGAGCATAACAAGRCACAGACAGAATGGTACATGGAACGCATCATCTTTATTCTCATCTTTCACAAATAATATAAAGTCGATAAACGACACGTATTATTCTGTCAATACGACGCAAGTACGACAACGAATATAAACCTAAGACTAATAATTCATTTATCATCATCAGCACAATTTATACATACAGTAGTGAGCCTTTCATTATCACATGTACATCGATTATGAGTACAAAGAATGAAGACACAACACGGTYGAAAAGACAACTGCGCATGCTCAGAATTCTGTCAGAAAAGCTTTGTATTCATTCACCAAAGTTCATTATGCAYATTTTTACCTTAAAAGTTTGAACTTTTRGCTAAACAGCAYTAACTAGGATGTTTTGAAGCTGTTTGTTARCCCTTTTATTACGAATTTCTTGAGGGAATTCTGYTTTAAAGGTGAATTGAAGGTTGTGAAGGATAGTCTTGTTGYTCGAACTCTCTAGGGATGYCTATAAGCTTTTTGCTTTGTGTCTTTGCCTGGCAAACACTTAAGTCAAAACTAAGGGACCCCATACTTGCATTGAGCTTACCTAGATGGTAGAATTACTCTTCTGGGAAAAAATTCTGAGTTGGAAAGCAACTTTATGAAGAAAATGGCAACGCCCGTCAGTTTCGATATTCCCAAAAGCAGTCATCAAATTATTGACTTTCACTGATCACGTGATAGTCTAAAAAAGCTATTTAGAGGCAAAATTAGCAAACTTTTATTAATGTTCTCGAGAGAACATCTTAATTTAAGGATCATGACGAAATTTAGAGCCGAAATAATAAATTTTAACAGAAATACGAGCGATCGAAAATTGGTAAGAATGTATGGGATTAGCTCGGCTCAATGCGTTTTGGACTGATCAAGAAATGCCTACAAAAAGCTTTGTTTTAAGATTCAAATTAATTTTTTAAGTTCAAGGATCAAAAACGTATATAACTCCCAACAGTWATGCAAAGTTTGAATCAAAACTGTGATTTCCTAGCAAAATTATAAGCGTTTGAATACGGTCTTACTTTACAAAGAAATGTATGGGGCCGCCATGATTGTGTCCCCGTCAGGGGCTTCAAAATGGCGGACCGTAACTCCGAGTATCGAATTGAGCTCAAAACTGATGATTTTGCTTTAACTTTACAACAATATCATTGTAAACATTTAAATTGATGCTGAAACTGTAATTGTTTTAAGATTCATAGGCTTTTCGAGTATTTTTGGCGTGTATCAAGTCGCGTGGCAGTATTACGTAACATATTTTTGAACGCTAATAACTCAACGAATAAACAGCAAAAAAAGTTTAAACATTCAGAGYGAACTTCTATCATACTCTTAAAGATATTTCAGTACCACAATGTTGTGTGTCTGTGATTTTAGATTTTTTTTTCGACTGATGACGTCATGTGAAAGTCAAGAATAGTTACGCTTAGAATAAACGACTTTTTCTCAAGAGCAACATACATGTATTTAAAACCAGACAAATTTGATCCTATGTCAGGAAATTGTTATTAAATTTGCTTTTATATCTCAATCAACTGCTCTAAAAAGTAACAAAGAATTTACAAACCAGCAGCATGATAACCTTTTCTGACAAAGCATTCACAGAATCTTTTCAAACGTGTCTGAAGAAACAACACAAACACACACAAAGCACGTGGGAATTTAGTGATTCCTGTGGCATCAATGATTTCTTTGCCAATTCCTCGCATCGGAATCTGCTTGCATTGCTTCAGTAAGTCGTCCATGAGTCTGGTTTGGAGAAGACTAATTTTCTAAAGGTATATATTTTTGTCCAATGACGACTTACCGAAGAAATCTTAAATTATTAAAACCTAGAAAACTCAATCCAAGCTTTGTTCACCTGAATGTTAAGTTTCAAGGATAATTCAGAGAGGAATGGCATTGAAACCATTTTGTAAAATGTGGACATTACAGCTATACTAATGATCTCTTCTTTGCTATTTTTTCTTTTACATTAATTAATTTGGTTGTCAAGAGAACCTTTTAGCCAATAAACATCTAGATCCCACAATTTGGGGGATTTTTCTTACAGACATCTTACAGAAATCAATTTATGAATATGGAACCAATATAGGAACTATGTGTTAGGTTGTCACCCTAAGTTTTTTTTGCAAAGAAATCAGGGAATAAGCTTATAATTAAGATCTTGTTGACTTTGATATGATAATTTAAAAGGGATTTTAGTGAGAGCGGTTTTTTTACATTGAAGTTTCCTTTTTAACCCATTTGTGGCTAATCTTAACAACTCTTTGTCACCCTTCATACCAAAATCAAAAAAGAGTGATAGATTTTCCTCTTGCAATGCATTGTGGGATGATCAGGGTCAAATTTTCATTGCAATAAGACCAGCCTTGGCACACTGCCCAACTGATGGTAACTGACTTACAATATATAAAATATAAACACTAACGACATCTCCCAGTTTCTTAATATCTAATTCCATATCTTCAGGAAGCTGTCCCAACTGCCAGTGGCGACGGCCATACCATCATCTGTCACGCCCAAACAGCTAACCCTGTTATCGTGACCAGCAAGCACTCCTGCACGCTCACCCTTCAGGGTGTCCCACACATTGCAGTTGAAGTCATCGTAGCCTGCCAAGAGGAGTCGGCCACTCTTTGAAAATGCTACGGAGGTTATACCACATATGATGTTATCATGTGAATACATGGTCAATTCCTGGAAAAGAAATAAAGTTTTGTTACATTCATTGATTTGTTGTTGATCTTGATATTGCAGTGCTACTTACTTGGTCAGCTCTGATATCGAACAATCTACAAGTGGCATCATCTGAGCCAGTGCCAAAGGCAAAAGAATTAGGGAAAAACTGAAATGAAAAGAAATTAAGTGTCAGTTCTAAAACCAGTACAACCAGTGCTTTCCTTTCATATGATTTTCAATGGCTTAAACTGAAGGAGATAAGAGTAACCCAAGACTGAAATGCACTGTTGATCTTCTCATGCCGGGTCTACTGAATCCAGGATGGATGGCATACAGCTAAGCTTGAAATTTCCACTTTTCCAGCAGCAACAATACACTTCAGTCTTTGAACAAGCTATGAAGTATCACAGTATTCTGCATTCMAAGTTTTTTTTAAAATAGCTGCATAAAGCAGTTAATAACACAACTATAATACTTACTGCGACAGCATTAATGTCAGACTCGTGACCAGTGAAGGTTTGTTTACACATACCATCGTTAATATCCCACAACTGAGAGAGTGAAAAAAGTGTTAAGATTTCCCAAGAATTATATAAAGTTCTTACTTAACTCATTTCATTTCTTAGGTAAATTTTTTGGAARAATGTAACAAGGAAATTACAATCACGTCAGTATATTTTTGGATTTTTCTTTTAAATATTTCTAAATAGGACAATGTTTTTTTTTTAACAAATGCACAATACAGCCTAAAGCAACAAAAACACTAATGCAAGACAACATGGCTCAGTTTGTTATGTTCTCAAGATCCCATTGATCATCCTACCGATGTTATTTAGGGTGAAAGTCATAACAGAGAAAAGATTCTTACTTTAGCAGATGCATCACATGCACCAGATATAAAGGTTTTTGAATCAGGAGACAAAGAAAGACTCATAACATCYCCAGTGTGTCCTGTAAACGTTGTTGTTTGTTGGCCAGTTTCTATATCCCACAATGCACTGCAAACAAAAACCAAATGGTGAATTGACATGTACTGGGATCCCTGTGGATAAGACACTGTGTAGTAAAACACAGGAAAGACATTGTKTCTCTTGTAGCATGACAAGCTGTAATATGCAATCTCATCCTCACAGCAAGCTGTCATCTCAGTGGAACAGTTTGCTTTGTCAAGTATGAATTGAAAGTTATTCCATTTTTGAGTATTATATCCATATTCAAGATTGTTTTTTTTTACCATTTGTAAAAATAATATTTAACTATTTGTACTATTTACCATGTCATGTCTCCAGAACTGGTGATGATTCTAGTATCGTCAAGGAAGCGACAACATGAAAGATAACCTGGAGAACACAAAGGAAACCATAAATTTTTACATTTATTTAAACTAATATTAAGCTTTGAACTGGCGTGGAAGAGAACTGTAAAAAATAGTTCACATCAGAAGAAAATAACAATCTGAAATTGCTTTATTTGCAAGGAACTTTTGAGTTCCAACATGACTTTTGARTTTGGACATGAAACTTCAAAAGAAAACATTGCTATTTTGATTTGAGATGYAATGGTTCTTGCTATTTCTTGTTACTTCATAATAATTTTCTTAAATCAATACTGCTCATTGTAATTATCTCACAAATACACCTTGAACTGTTTACTTTATTCATAAGTAAACAGCCAAAAACAATAAAATCAAGAAAGAAGTTTAAGAAGTTGTGCCTTACAGCAGAAACCGTTGCATCGCGACTTCAATGTTCAAAGGAAATAGTTGGGATTTAGGTTTTTCTGCGACTTGGGGGYGGAGCTTGATACTAATCAGCCAATGATTGAACRAGTTTTCGAAAAGCTCCGCCTCTCAGATTGAAAGAAAGAACAAAATCCAGACAAACTTCAAAACAATGAGGTCGGGATGCAACGATTTCCACTGTAAAAATACTGCAAAAATGTTAGCACTTTGCATAACCACAGAATACTTCCAATGTTGAGGCAATGGATAAATTATAAAGAATTTACACTTGGATTATTACATTTCTTTTAAAATATTTTTGCCATGATAATCACCTGTATGCCCTGGGAGTTCTCTGCTTACACGGACGTTTCCTTCTCTTGTTTTCAGACTATAGATGGAGCAAATGTTATCCAGACCACCTAAAAAAGAATTTATCAATTGTATTATTGATTATTAAGTATAATAGATTCTTCATTATGGCTTTTTGTGTATTGATTTCCCTGCATACATGTACTTTATATCAATACTTAAGTGAGCTATTTTATACTAATAACAATGTTATTTGTCATGTGCAAATATCTTTAAGAAGTTCCAAAAATCCTTGATCGACTGACCATTCGCTTGCATGGTGATCAGAGTTCTTACCATTGAAACATTAGCTTAGAATAAAACAAACCCATTCTATCAATGAAAAACAAAACATAGCTTCGTAGTAATAACTATTAACTTATTGTTAATAATATATAAATACTCACCACAAGCAACGTAGCTTCCTGATGGAGCATATGCGCATGTCATAACCCAACTTGAACGAAGAGGAATGGCATGAACCTATTGAATTATAAACAAATTACATCAGTCATTTTCGTCTTCGAATAACTTGCAAACATTAGAACTTAAAAAAAAACCTGTCATTCTTTTTATGTTCTTTAAGTTTTAGTTTTCTTAGTGGTATGTACGTTGCTTTAGGCATGTGAGAAACAGGAAAACTTAAAAATTTCTTCATCAAATGTATTGTTTTTATATTTCTTTTGTATTGTTATTTCATTTGAAAAGAGACTTTTTTATAAAGCCTACATAGTCCACATGATGCCCTCAATTCAAAATGTACAATCTTTACCAATATTATTATTAATGGATAACTTCTTCTGTAGTTAACAAGTTTGAAAGAATAGAACGTTCTAGATGAACAATTTCTGTTATCTTTCAATTATTATTTTTTGTTTTATTATTTATTCATGTTAGAGAAAAAGATTTAAAATAAAAACCAGCAATGAAGAATACATCTAAATTACTACATTTTCAGGTTCAGTCAATGTGCCAAAATCATGGTAAAAGTAATAATACAATCAAACGTTAGTTATTGCATAAAGATGCTCTGTTACCATGGATATAGATGTGAATATACAATGTATCATCAATTATTTAACAATAAGAATACCTTATTTGTAGTGTATGAGTCCCAAACAATAAGTTTTCCATCCTGGGAAGCACTTACTAAGTTTCTGTTGATGAAAAGAGACTACATCTCAGTAAAGTTACAAGAAATATTTCTTGAACTTGTTGAATTCTTAGTTTTTGTGCATACTCAGAAGAAGGTATTTCTCGCAAAGAAAAACTCAGAACAAATCTCGAAATTCTTTTTTTTGGCAGAAAATCTTAGAAATGTATTACATAAGACTGAACAAATGTCACTGCAAACAAGTAAACTTAAAATGAAAAACAAAAACATGCCCAAAGTTTGTGACATGAAGACAAACGGTTCAACATCTTTTACAACTRTTATTTAGAATTATTACCTTGAATCAGATGCCCAGTGCATGGCATATATCTTGGCAAGATGGCCGCGCAGCGTTCTACGTGTTCGCATTTGTATTCTTCCTACTGGTTCGACTGTTGAGGTTACTTGGAGGAGAGTTGTGTCTGCAGCAATCTTTCTTGCATCCTGCAATCAAAACACATGAATTATATACCATTTATTACAATAAACAAACCAAGAATTAGCAGTCATCAAAGCCACAAACATTTTGAGAGTACAATAAGTCAAACAAGTGCGAACTCTTAAGACCCTCCGGATGAAAAGTTGACATAAATTCTACACCATAACAAGAAAAAAACGTTGCTGACATTTTGGACTCTGCTCCAATGAACAAAAGACAAAGTGTAAGAAAMTTTCTGAGGTTTCCTCTCTTGTCTTATCTTTTTAGTCAATCTAATTGAATTTTTTCTCATTTTTCATATACAGTTAGCATTTAATGGTCAGTTTTCTTACATGACTTGGTCAACAAAAATGTTCAATATGAAAGATTTCAAATTATCAAAGAACTTTCTCAGTAGCTTAGACATGGACTGATGATTTTTTTCAAATTGTTTGATATCTTACGAAGCTCAACAATATTGAATCGGTTGTAAAATAACTTKGATAAACAAATATTCCTTTGAAAGTAACAAGAAAGCCACCAAGAWAAAGGAAAGGGAAAAATTTCAAATTTTMTAGCAGCACTTGATGAAAAKATTTATAATCATTGAAACAAAAAACACAATGATGATGAAACTTAAATTGTAAAAAATCATGAAAATAACAGAGCACTTCAATGATACAAGAAAGATGTTCAAAATCTGAGCACTAAAAGCATCTTTTGTTCTCATTTTTTAGGGAAAATGTTAAGAACCTGTAATAAAAATCACAAAATAATAAGAAATAATAAAGTGGAGTCAAACAGGAAGGRAAATACCACAAGTTTCACTTTCCTCCAAAAGTACTTTAATTCTCTAATATATTATGAAACAAAATCATTGAAACAAATGTCTAAAACTGCTATGTTAGAAACAAGCTTTAGACAATTTACATGCAAAGAAAATTCAAGGAAAACAACACTTGGCACAAAGAAAGGTTTTTTTTGACTTGAATTTCTATGTAAAAATGAGTAATAAAACAAAGTAAATAGATTGTAATTCTTTAAAAGTGCTTAAGTTGATTAAACCACAAAAAGTAATGTTGAAAATAGAAAAGGTAAAAGAAAACAAAAGCAAAACACATCAAACATGTCTCTGCAGACAGATGTATTGTGATTGAAACGACAGTACTACATTYGTCAACCCCAAAACCACAACTGTAATCATTTGATGCCATTCAGATTAATTTATCAATCATTTTGAAGGATTATAATGTTATATCTGAGAAAATACAATCCACTTTTAAATCTTTTTGRTGCAATCATCATAAACCAGTGGCAACATGTAAACAAACAATGAMAAATTTTAGTGATTTCTGAACTGAACTCATTAGCTACAGTTTAATGGAGCTGCAATTCATCTTTAAGGATRTTTCTTGGACAAAGTGATGGACCAGCATCTCCAAAAATGAACAAAAATGTTTAATTTTACTATTAAAGTATAAATTTTTAGTTGTATTTATTTTCTCAAGGGGTGGAACATCTAAGTTCCATTGAGCCAACTCCCATTGTATTTAAAATGGAGTATGCATAGTTAACTACCATCCGTGCCATAACTATACTCATAAGTTACTGATTCTTATACAAATGGTATGCAACATCAGAAATCATCAAAAAATCTACAGGAATAATTACAGTGAATTTCTAAACATAAAAGATTAATTTTCAGTAAGTCAGAATTCGTTATTTTGATAAAAATKTGTGGTATAACACAACTTTCTCACAAGAAACATCAACAGCAATAGAATGGGAATAATATGAATCAAGTAACGATAAATTTCGACTTGGTTCAACTATAATTTGTATGATATTTTTTTGACTTCTTCCTTAGCAACTACAGGTAATGCAACCAGTTTAGTTTGTGACTAACGAGAAACTACSGCCATTTTATCAGACAAGTTCAAGACGAAAACCTAAATCACCACAGCCTTTCTAAAGAAGCTTGAAAGTGATTTAGCCGACATAAATTTTAAGATTTTTTGTCAGCGCCACCTTTTGTATTTCGTTTYGAATGTACACTGCACATCAAAGAAAGTAAAATCATAACAATGTTCGAACATTCGATCAGTCGAACGATCGATCRGGCTTTCAATACGGAACAAGTTTCGAGCCTGACAACTTAATGTCAAGAATTATGGAACAAAAATAAATACTTTGATTTCCTGCGAGGACGAAAGCGAACAAGAAATAAGCTAACCGGAGCACGCCTCGACATGATCGGGGGGCAGTGGTTTTGGTCGGCGCGATCATTCGTTCCATTGTAMATTTCAACGCTGAGGTTCAAATTCGATTCCACAAAAACAATTACTAGTGTCTAAAAGCAAAAGAAAATTTCCATGCAAAACACAAGTGCTTACTGAATCTACACACCATTTCTAGTTCGAAACAGTTCGAGTAAACGATGCCAAGGTTCCCAATAAATAATCGCAAATAAAATAACAATGTTTTGCAAAACTGACAAATGGATTTGGTGATATCAAGTTAAAAAGCGAAAAAAATATATACTWAAAAATTACTGAAGAGTATTGTGCGTTTATTGTGATGAAAAGAGGCGATTTTTTTACCCGTTCTGAGCATCAAGTGAAGAATGTTCAAAATGGGGATGTTCACCTCTCTTTTCGTCTCAACAGCACGCTATTCTTTCACCATTCGCGAGGTTTTGGAAGCGTTTGAGCTACAAACGGTAGCAAAAGAAGTAAAGCTCAAATCCTGAGGTGAAATTCCTCTCAAAAGATCACTAAAATATTTTGCTGTTATATAATACAGCCAAATCTATGTAGCTGGGTGGTAAAATAACAACGATGTCGTCTTGTGTCGGTCGCGTTAGACGAGATCAAAGCTTAAACTTTTATATTGCCATTCTAAGGCTGTTTTTACATCGATGGAAAGTTGAAACTTTGATGAGGAAGGAAAGCAAACCGAATAAACATTCAACGATGTTACTGTTATGGAGTGCAAGTCCAGTGCCGTATACTAACATCTGCCCTTCCAGCAACAATGGGGCTAGTCAATTTTTACAGTATTCTGCTTTTTGATCGGTGCAGAAAAACCCTCCTTTACCTCAACCAAACAATAATACAACGATCACGAGCCAAAAACCATGCGAAATAATCGGAATTTTAGAAATTCTTAAGGGCCATGTTGTTGGAACAGAGACCGGTCTTCTCCAAGAATTCACTGTCGCCAATAAACAAGCATACAATCTCTCACTAAGCCAAAAGAACCAGAATTATCGACCCCAAAGCCTTCCAGGACTCAAAATAAAAGTATAAGAGGTTTGATTTGAGAAATTTGAGAAGGACGAGGCGAAATTGGGCGAAGTTCAAGCCGCCAATCGATCTTCGTTGGTGCKGGCTCTAAAGCGCCTCGTCGAAGGATCGTTTGGAAGCAAGCTCGATCCGTCGCCAATAAGCTTTCGCTTTTCGATCGCCTCTTTCCYTCACCAAATTCCGACAAAAACTCACCCGRATCTGACATTTCAAAGCTTCTGCTTCTTGTCGAAGTTGTTCTAGCTCACTCATGTTGTAATATCTGTCGAATAATGGTGCTGCTAAGTGAAAGAAGACGACTCACTGCCTTGCAGAGATAAACTGACTCCTGTTTGATCTAACACTCGCTCAAACTCCTTCCCTACGAGTCTGGCTGAGTGTTAGGCTTTTCTTGATAATCTGCAACACTCAGTAATCCAAGGGAAAAGTGTTTTGGGCTCGTTTCAAGGCAGATTTTTGGTAGCATCAGCTTTATCCCTGTTATAGTGTTGGGAGTGGTCTTTTTGATAGATTGCAAAGGATTGCCCCCACACTGAAACACACAACAGCCCTGGAACCCCCCGCATAACATACGGACAGGAACCTGGGACTAGYGTCTAAAACACTAGGGAGGGGAGGGTAAACAAGGTTCATTTTGAACTTTGGACCAGAGATTTCGAAATTTTTTCTTATTTTCATTCAAAATTAGCCAGTTTTTGAATTTAAAACACAGTATCACGTATTTATATTTCTAGTGTAGTTGGTGATTTCTGTTTAGTTTGGACCCTCAAAATGAGAATTTGCTATTTTACTTCTTTTTAATTTTCATATTTTCCATTTTTTAAATGTGAACTTGATTGAATACAGTTATGCAAGTTTTTTTTTGTAATTTAATTTAGYGTTCAATAGCTACAAAAAGGAGTTATGTTTATTAGAATTATGTTCAAAAATACAAAGTCAATTAAAAATGAATCTAAAAGAAAAAAAAAGAAAAAAAAGATGAAGCAACAAGAAGGCAAGAAAAAAGAAAACAGTTGTATTTCTTTCTTTGTTTTTCTTTTCTTTTTCTCTCTTTGTTTTGCACTATTTTGCATTTAATGATATTGTTGCTGTGGACCAGGCTAAATACAAGAGTATTTCCCCTGAATTTTTTCAAAGTCAGAATAAAAGGAAAGTTTATACTCAATCATGAATACCAATTTTATTAATACCTTTTCCACTAGTTATGCTACAAATTCTCAAAAATTATATGATTATTATAGATCGCAGGAACAGTTTCGCCAAATTTTCCCATATGTTACTTCTTTACAAACTCCAAAAAACAGTTCTTTACATGAATCAAAGCCTCATAGATCATCCTGTCCTGATTTTAACAAACACAACTTGTTCACTTGAGTGGATGTCTGAAGTTTTTGCCAGCAAATTTGGCATCGGCTCCCAACTCTTCCTCAATCCTAAAAAGAAAAACAAATGCATAAAAAAAGAGAACAAAGAGAGACAAAAAGGAACAGAAGATTATATTATCTACCTAGACAAGTTGGTCAAGGCTTGATTGACATATGCTATGGTGTTAACCTTAGTCTTTATCACACAGTGGTAAATTCCAGTTTCATTAAATTTCCTCTYAGAAGAAACAGCTGTTTACCCAATCCCATTGTGGGACAGGAAGCCCAACAATAGGAGAGACTTTGAATGAGTCTCAGTAAATCTCAGATTTTTTAAAAAAAAGCTAATTGGGCTTTAAGCTAGGTGTCCCTGAAGTACTTATAAATATGTTAAAACTCTGATGTAAATTTCAGMTTCAGTTKTATGAGAAGGCAAAAGCTTGCATTGCAACTGGAAAATTGCAATATGCTTGGAAATCTCCRGAAAAACTTAAACAAAGGATAAACTTTGAGTGTCTCAGCTGGGMACACACTTATCCTTGACACTCAATARGACACTTGACACATGCYACTCAAAKTTTAATAGTTGTTTACCTGAGCAGTTGGTTGTACTTKGCAAGTCTTTCAGACCTACAAGGTGCACCAGTCTTGATCTATTTGGTGAAGTAAAACTGTTAGTTAAATTAAACAAACAAACAATATACGATAGTTCTTTTTCCTTGGGAATGTGCTGAAGAATGGATGAAAATAAAACTGAAGCTTTCACTGTGATCAGAGACTGACTATAGAAATGTTAGCTAAGTGTTTAACAGCGTTTGGACCTTCTCCATTTACAAGTCATTATCATGCTTACTTGTCCTGTGCACAGACCAACAACAAGATCAGCGATAAATGTATCTTCTGTCTCTCCACTACGATGGCTGACCATAACCCCCCAGCCATTTGACTGAGCCAACTTGCAGCTAGA